TTAGTCAGTTAAAAAATTGACAGGAGGGCACAGGTGGGAGCGCATGAAAGAAAAAGATTAAAAAATAGTCCAAATCAGATTTAGACTAAGTAGACCAGGGGTGTCAAACTTGTATCATCGTGGCGGTGTCACATGACGTATTGGGAATTTTCCCCTTTCGCTAAACCAGCAGTGGAGGAACCAGCACGTGACACATCCAGCCTATGGGCCATGAGTTTGACACCCCTGAAATAGACTAAATCAGATTTAGCTGGTTTCTGATATCATTAGATAATAGTTTTTATAGGGATAATTCAAATATAAATCAGTTGCTTCTGTTAGAAACCTTTTAATTTTGACCAATAAATGTACAGATGCAACAGTGCAAAACTCACTGAAAATCAGTAAATAATTAAAAACAGAACAGATAAGGATAACTGAACACAGCAAAGAAAACATCAGGGCTGTTGTTGTTTGGCACCCGTACTGCAAACAAAAACTTATACCTCAATGTAGGAATTTGTGCAATGAAACCACAAAGTGAAGCCTATGTTGATGACTGTATCATTTTCACATGCAACTGCACATTACCATGGCAGAACCACTTTAGAATAAATCATATAAAGGTAATTTTGACTATCATGAAACTGCTTTAACTCATCAGCTTCAACTGACACTGACAATTCAGAGAAGTCTCCTGCACCTATTTCTTCTATATAGAAATAATTCAATATGTAAATTTTTAGAAGTTCAAAAAGTCAATCTTGTTTTCTATCATGCTTTAGTAAAGCACCCTTTAGTTGAATTTATCAAGCGGATCATCTAAACATGTAGCCATGGCTGTGTATTTGTTCATGTGTATACAAGTGCCATTGGCCTTCCAGACCGATTTTCCTATGAAGAAAAGGTATCTGGTGATTGAAATAGTTGAAATGTGTTTTAAAGGCCTACTACAATCTTTGAAGTTATGGTAGGATAAACAGTCTCTCTGTAATGGAAGCACATTTTTTGTGTATGTGCAAAGCAGTTTCTTGTCATCTCAGATCTATGTATCTAGCCGTCAAGTACTTAGATAATATGTAAAAAGAACCTATGTGCAAATTTGTTATAACATAATATAATTTGGCATATGTTACGTCTATAGTCTTGATGTAGAAATATGGCACAGAAAAACGATAGAATAATGATTTTACTAAATATCATTTTCAGAATAGCAGTGTACATGCTGTTTTAGCTCTGATGGCACTTTATTTTGGTAAACTATTACATCTTCCCTTAGACTTTTCAGTACAAATCTATCACAGTAAAAGGCTTCAAGTGTAGCAATTTTATCTCATTTCTTCCATCTTTCTACAATATTAAAATTCAGGCTAAATTATCATAAGATCATCAAATAAATGGATTATCAGTGTTACTGAAGGCACTATACTAAAAAAAAAAATCATTAGGGTTAATTCCCTTAAATGTTTATTTTCAGTGCTGTCCTGATAAGCATTTTGCAAGTCCAATTCAAATATTAGTACTGATGAAAAGAAAAGCACTTGGAAATTTGCAATTATGAATTTACCATAATGGATTCTATTCAGGAAAATGTCATCAGCTGAAAGCAGCTAATGAGATGTACTTCCAATCACTGGAAATATGAAATTATAGAGAAAGGAAATAACTATCACAATTACTTTCCAACATACTTAAAAGGTAAGGCTTAGGTACTGAATATATGAATAGAGAAACAGAAATAAACACAGCTCATCATACTGAATTTTTGCGACAAATCTTACTTTTCTGGTCACGTTAGCTTTCCTATTGTACTGCATTTGCATATAGCCATCATAGGTATTTTCAGAATTTTGGAACTTGAACTTTCCCTATGACTTGGTCTCTTCAAGTGTTTTGGAAATGCAGTGCCTCTAATTTTCAGCCAATATGTTGGCTTAGAAATCAGACTATTGTAGCACAGCACATTTGGCACCAGTCTGGGTTCTACCAAACAGTTCCAGTAAACTGCAATACTGTAGCTTAAACTGAGGAGATTAAACTGCAATACTATAGATTAAACTCTCGTATATCATTCTGACTTTTTGGGGTTAATGTTCCTTATAGAGAATATTCTTAAATTTGACAACAAAACCAAAATATTTGCCAGATAGAACAATATTAAAATGTCATCATAAAGGAAACACCAATTTTTCCATGACAAAGAGTTCTAGTTGAATATCTGATTATATTTTTACACACTATAAACCGGAACACCTTTCAGGCAATTTATATCCCCATAAGCATTCTAAAGAAATAAAAATGAAATTACAAGAGAATAGAAACTTTAACAAAGAACACCCCCCGCCCCCCAATACATGTACACAAACACTCTCTCTCTTCTGGAATTGGAGCCAGTATGCTTCTGAATGGTAGTTGCTGTGTAAGAGTGACAATGCCACTGCACTCAAATATTGCTGTGAACTCCCCAGATAAACCTGACTGGCCACATAGAAATTGCCCTGATCGAAGGCTGTTCTTACATTTCCAAAGGTTTCATTGTTGCTATCTGAATTCGCACTGATGCATGTATTTTAGATGTAACATTCTAAATTACTAAGTATTAGCAATGTTGCTATTGCTCCAGATCTGGAATACTAAATTTTCTCCAAAATGAATAATTATTGATTGAAGAATTTGGTTTTTTTTGAAGGGTGGTGACACCCCCTGAAAGTTCATAAACTGATAGAATTGGTACTTTCACTTATAAATGTATTATTACCATGTGAGATAAAATAAATGTAATTTGGGAATAACTGTTTTACTCAAAACTTAGGGGCTTTTAGTCCTCTTTAGTCAGAAACAGATTTCCTAGAATCAACTGATATTAAATCCTAGTTAACTGTCTATAGGACAGTATTTTGTCTAGAAAATAGTACATTATTATGTTTAGCTATCCAAATGTACTTCCACTGCTACATAGAATGAATATTCATTTTCAGAACTTTGATTTATTTTCAGAGCTTTGTTTTAAAATATGAATTCCTTTAATTTCTGCATGATTTTACTAAGGTCTACATATTGTTTTAAATTCAAATAATAAAACCCTACTTTATTACTATATTGATCGTTCCAATGTTTTCCCATTTTCTTAACTGTTGAAAAAATCAGTACCTTATGGTACAAATGGATGGATGTCTAAGTAGTAAAGAAGTAAGTGGAAACAGACTTTAATAGGACTTAGCCCCAAGTAATTAGATGGATTGCAGCTTTAGACAAAATATATTACGCAGTGACCAGATTTAAATTCCCATTCAAATAAAAATGCAATTTGAAATTCTATAAATATATGAACCAGTATCATTATGTGCTGATCTATATAATCCATGCTTTTAAAGTCCAATGAAGAATTAACCTTCCTCTATATTTCAGTTTTCTCATAATGTCTGGTTTTGTTTGTTTTTCTTTCCCCTAAGAAATAATGCTAACTAAACCACTTTTTTCTACATTCTCAAAATGCATAAGAATAGCTACTTCTCTTCAGATAGTCCTCCACTTGCAACCAGTCATTTAGCAACTGTTCAGTTATGATGGCCTCAGGGTGCAGTAACAGCCCGTAAAGCACTTTTGACTGCCATAAAATGTGCTCTCCCCAGCTCACATTTAAAACTGGTTGCAGCGTCCCATGATCATGATCTGTCACATTTTTTGCTGCTTTCCGGCAAAAAAAAATGTCCATTTTGGGAAAGTGGATTTGGACTTATGACTGTGTGATTAGCTTAACAACTACAAGATTTGGGCTTATGACTATGTGATTTGTTTAACAACCACTGTAAAAAAAAATCAGGTTGGGTCACATAGACTTACAACCAAAATTCCAGACCTAATTGTTGTTGTAAATTGAGGACAGAGTCAAAAATAGATTGAAAGATTAAAAAAAATAAGCAATGGCAAATGTATAGGAAGTATTCAGGAGTAATTAAGGTATCAAGTATCTATTAAAAAGTTATGAGTATGACTTTAGGAGACTGCCAGTACATTCAGTAGGCATTCCATCTTTACTTTTGGCAAAACTGACTTAAGCTGAACATCTAGTATCAATAACATTAGAGAAAAGAGTGGCTTATAACAGAACTGAACGGATTTTTGCTTGTAGATAACAGGACCACAAACTCTCGTTATTCATAGAACTAAACCATGTTACTGGCTTTTATAAGTAAGTCATACAATGTATTAAATCCATCATTCTAACTTTGATACTTTGGTTTCCAATTCCTTTTTTCTGGGTTAAACTAAATGTGAAAACACATTACATCATTCCTCTGTAAAATTAACAAACGCTTCTTGCTCTGAAATGAACATAATGCATCTTTAAATTTATAAAAGTCAGTTTCTCTTAATTGACAATATTACAAATGGGCCTTTCCAATACATATGAAAAACACTGAACAAGATGAAACACAGAAAATATGCTGAACACAAATTACATACAGAGTTAAACTATTGATATAACTGAAAAGAGGGAGGTAAAAGATGATTTTCAAAAGTAAAAGGTAAAAAGAACCCACTATAAATACATGATTGTGAATTATATTAAAAATATCTAGACTGTGAGTATCTGTATAAAAGTATAAAAAAAGTAGCTGCTATCTAAAGCAAGACAAATTTTAAATTCTTTGATGGAAGAAACCCAATGGAAAAAAATTAATGCAATATCTCATATAACAATAGTGGCAGGTGAAATCTAAACTCAAGTTGGTATATTTAAAAAAATAACTAACACAGAAGTCGAAAACTAAAGAGACCTGTGCATTAGTGGTACTTTTGAATGCATTAGGATTTTTTTTACTTCTGTTGCATCCTGTCAGAGTGCATGAAATAGTTGTTGCAGGAGACCTTCATAGTCTTTGAAGGCCTCAAAAGCAGTTTTAGAGAAAGTAATAGAGGTACACATAGAAAAAAAGAGCTAGAAAAGTTGCGCTGCAGGTAAATGCAGTATCATCCTTTGTGTCCTATATACACAATTTATAGCCCTTAGCCCATAAAGCATAATACTCCTTTAACAATATCCATCTTTACTTGGCAAAAGGTTTGAAATTATTTAGGTGCATGTCATTTCCTGCTAAATGATGTACCTTCTTCATATTATTACCTTTTGTTATTAACTTTAGAAAGCAAAAAAAAATTCTAGAATTGCAACACAAACTTTTTAATAAAATTGTACCAGAACATATTTTAAATTACTAGTTGTTGGACTTATGGTTAGTGAATTTAAAGTGCATCTAAAGATCATGGGTAATTTTAAACCAATTCCATGAGCTACATGACATCTGAATGAAATCTTAATGAAGATGATGATTTCATCCATTTTTATCTCTCCCAAATCAGCCACTAAACAGCATTCTCCTCAGTACTAAAAATTGGCTTTATTAGATTTAATAAAAGTATTTACTATAGAAAGCTGCTCCTATTAGGAGAAGTTTGGAGGATAACAGCTGCCTGTCAGTCCTTTCTCATAAACCCAGCACTCTGAAAGAAAACCGTACCATGATTTGACAACTAAAATCTTTCTCATTTATACCACGCATAAATTCAACTGGAATCTGTGAGTCTATTAATATACTATGAGAAATTCTACTGATTTGCAAATAATGCAAGTTTCAGGCAGCATAGGAGTGTCATAATGCCTTGACAGTAATTTTAGGCACATGGCCAATTTGTTATAATTGGCTACTATAACTTTCAGTCAATAAAATAGGCACTATAAAAATGGCAACAATATTTAAAAGCTGTTTCTATAATTATAAAGTGATAGTGTTATTTAATACTTTATCTACCTTAAATTCCCTTTAAGCAAGCAAATGATGTATTCAGAAAAATCTATTAACCTATGAAAGGTGATAGCATTCAAAAATAAAACAGCACTCATCCAATTAAAACAATTCTTCACAAAGGTGCAAATGATTTCACTACTGCTTTCCAGGCTCACATAGGCAGGTCAGTACTGTTATGTCTAGTTTTTCTAGAAGTACCGTCGTCTCGTGGCAGTGCTTTCTGCAAGTTTGACATAGCAGCAGTTCTTTCAATATCTATCACAGCATATAGCTCGGTGCGCCTAGTTGGTGTTGGGGGAAGTGGAGTAGTAGGAGTTTTGGGAGTCTGTGGGTTATCAGAGTCACTGCCACCTTCCAAATCAACTTGTATATAATTGAGTTGCCTGTGTTCTGAACTTGGTCGCCTAATATCAAAATTGAAGACTGTAGGGGTACAGTCCCGGCGTCTTGCATGTTCAACTTTGTGAGCACTTGATGGTACTGTTACATTCTCTGTATTGACATAATTATGCATGGGATCTAAGTTATTATGATAGCCGTTCAAAGAGGGAGTCTTTGGTCCTAAACTGTCATCCTCCTCTTTACTTAGCTTATGAGCTTCCCAAACTGGAGGCAAAGAAGGAAGATTTTCATAATTTAACAGTGCAGTTCTCCTTTGAGCTGAATTATTGATGTTTTGAGAATCAGAAGTACTGGATGACACTAGACGACTCCTCCTGTGCCCTGGAGCATTAGGGATAGACAATCTATTTACATTTTCATATGTTAGTTTATTACCAGAAGAAACCTCTTTGCGTTCATCACTGTCATATCCAGTATCCCATTCATTGTTACTATTTCCACTAGCTTGAATACTGCTACTACTTGTTTCAGTATTGTTCCCACTAATTTGAGTACTGTTCCCGCTTGATTCCAGTTTTTCCATCTCCATTAACTGTCGCTGGACAGGAGTAGGGCCCAAAACAAATTTGACTCCTTGAGGTTCCAGTACAACCTGGCCATCCCTGTCATCAGAGCAAGTCCCTTCTTCTCTTGCCTTGTTTGTTTCTGCATTGGGAACCTTTTGTTCCAGAGGTGTGCGTGCAGTTGATTTGTTTTTTCTTTCCTCCTGTACACCTGTTGTATTCACATATGTATGGACCTGCAAAAGATAAAGTCAAATGTCAATCTTATACATTGCCATATTCTTTTTTGACTGCTGATCACAAAGATTTATTATATCCAACAGTGATACACAGTTGTGTTCATAAGTTTACATACCCTGGCAGAATTTATGATTTCTTGGCCATTTTTCAGAGAATATGAATGATAACACAAAAACTTTTCTTTCACTCATGGTTAGTGGTTGGCTGAAGCCATTTATTATCAATCAACTGTGTTTAACTCTTTTTAAATCATAATGACAACAGAAACTATCCAAATGACCCTGATCAAAAGTTTACATACCCCAGTTCTTAATATGGTGTATTGCCCCCTTTAACATCAGTGACAGCTTTAAGTCTTTTGTGGTATGTGTGGATGAGGCTTTTTATCTTCTCAGATGGTAAAGCTGCCCATTCTTCCTGGCAAAAAGTCTCTAGTTCCTGTAAATTCTTGGGCTGTCTTGCATGAACTGCATGTTTCAGTTCTCCCCAGAGTGGCTCAATGATATTGAGGTCAGGAGACTGAGATGGCCACTCCAGAACCTTCACTTTATTCTGCTGTAGCCAATGACAGGTCGACTTGGCCTTGTGTTTAGGATCACTGTCATGCTGGAATGTCCAAGTACGTCCCATGCGCAGCTTCTGGGCTGATGAATGCAAATTTTCCTCCAGTATCTTTTGATAACATACTGCATTCATCTTGCCATCAATTCTCATCAAATTTCCTGTGCCTTTGTAGCTCACACATCCCCAAAACATCAGCAATCTACCTGCATGTTTCACAGTAGGAATGGTGTACTTTTCATCATAGGTCTTGTTGACTCCTCTCCAAATGTAGCGTTTATGGTTGTGGCCAAAAAGCTCAATTTTGGTCTCATCACTCCAAATGTCTTTGTGCCAGTAGTTTTGAGGCATGTCTCTGTGCTGTTTGGCGTATTGTAAATGGGATACTTTGTGGTATTTGTGTAATAATGGCTTTCTTCTGGTGACTCGACCATGTAGCCCATCTTTCTTCAAGTGCCTCCTTATTGTGCATCTTGAAACAGCCACACCACATGTTTTCAGAGAGTCCTGTATTTCTCCTGAAGTTATTTGTGGGGTTTTCTTTGCATCCTGAACAATTTTCCTGGCAGTTGTGGCTGAAATTTTAGTTGGTCTACCTGACCGTGGTTTGGCTTCAACAGAACCCCTTATTTTCCACTTCTTGATTAGTGTTTGAACACTGCTGATTGGCATTCTCAATTCCTTGGATATATTTTTATATCCCTTTCCTGTTTTATACAGTTCAACTATCTTTTCCCACAGAGGCTTTGACAATTCTTTTGCTTTCCCTATGACTCAGAAGCCAGAAATGTCAATGCAGCACTGGACGAAAGATGCAAGGGCCTGTCAGGAGTCCAGGAACTCATTGACCTTTTATACACAAACACTAATTACAAGCAAACAGATCAGAGGTGAGGATGGTTACTTTTAATAGCTATTCAAGCCCCTTTGTGCCAACCTGTGTGCATGTTATCAGCCCAAAATCACCAGGGTGTGTAAACTTTTGATCAGGGTCATTTGGGTAGTTTCTGTTGTCATTATGATTTAAAAAAAGTAAACACAGTTGATTGATAATAAATGGTTTCAGCCACATACTAACCATGAGTGAAAGAAACGTTTTTGTGTTATCATTCATATTCTCTGAAAAGTGGCCAAGAAATCATAAATTCTGCCAGGGCATGTAAACTTATGAGCACAACTGTATAAAAAGGTAGACACTCACTAATCATGAAACTGGATTCAGTGTACTTCTGTCATATACAGGGCATATTTTAGCAGTATAATATAAATGTACAATAATGACTAGTTACAATAAAATTAGAATATGGAAAAGAAAATTCAGAATAACGTACTTGTTCCTCTGCTACAAGTAAGGGGTGTGTGGATTCTTCACCTACTGAAGGAAGACGTGCACTTCCTACTGAAGGGTGTCTGCTAGAAGGATGTGATGAAGCATCTCCATAGGAGGGAAACCTTGGGTACCCATTAGGTAAATTCTGCCCACTCAATCCAGGTGCTGGTTAAAAAGAAAACCAAATTATTACATTGATACTATTAATAATATTCCTTCAGAACATATATATTAATAAACACAATTCACTACAAGTTAGACGGAAAGAACTGCAAGGGCTTGTCCAGGGAGTAGCCAGGAGCCAAAAATTCAAAAAGCACACAGACTCAAGCATTGCAACGAAGACTTCAACAGAATTTCATATCAGCATTTTATCTTAAGGAAAGCAAAATCTGTACTTTCTACTCAGGTCAGGGTATTAAAAAGGCGCCTAGAGCAATAGGCCACATATATTAAAAACTGAATGCATGACTAGAAGCACGGTCTGGCTAAAGGACAGTAAATAAAAACAAAAATCAAATGCAATTCTTGAGTTTGGCCTACTCTGCATCAGATTTTACTCATTGAAATTTATAACCCACACCATTCTCAAGACTTGGAGCAATTTATTGTTTTTTAATCAGTAACAAAACTGAGAAAGAAGAGCAAAAAACCAAAGACAGTAATAGGGGATATATATATTGTCAAAGAGAAGAAGTAAAAACACATAAAACATGCTTTGACAAAAAAAGTGAAAAAGCATAACAAATAAAAAAACATAATATGGTAGGTCATTATAACAATATATATACATATATACATATACATATATGTGTATTTATTTAATACAAATATTATTCAAGTACATATATTTTCTAATACATTTATACGACAATAATTTTTAACCTACTATATTCTCCATAAATGAGCCCTATATTTCATTATATTGGCTGTACAAAGTCTAACATCTATAGGCAATCTGCCTATAAGTAGTAAGTCAATCGGGTCTTCAATCTATTGAATAAATGGAGCTATACATTTATCTTTCTAATGCTGCAATATCAGTTGTGTAGCATAGTAAGGGTACAAATAATCCATTTATGTTGATTGTCAAATTCTATCTCTTAGGTATATAGTTCAAAAGAAGATTAATTTCTGAAAAAATTAACTTTTCTTGTTCAATCATATTTATATAATCCACTACTTGCTTCCCAAACTTGGCAAGTATATGGCTCTATAGAAATATATTCTCTCCTCCAATTCTAGCAAGCATGTGTAAATCCCAGGCCAAAACCCCATTCTGAAGTCTTTCCAAGAGATCACCTCAGTACAGCCAGAGAGCCAATATCTCTTAGTGCTTTTGTACAGTAGGCCTCTCCAATCCAAACTCTGTCCTGACTCCACAATAAGTTGTCATAGCTCACTCCCAAGACAGTCTATCCCTGCTGACAACCTCCTTCCCTCAGAAACTTTCAATAACAGTGGCAAACATCAATTCTTATCAGATGTTAACTTGAATAGAAAAATATATAGGAATGAATTCCTTATGACAAATTATTTTAGTCCACTAATTCCTCTATATTTCCTTTAAAATATTAACTGTCACATTGAATGAAAATTGTGTGTAATAATTATCACTTGAAACATTCAAAGTAAAAAAAATTGGCAAATTTTAACAAATCATGTAAGCCTAGTCAATGAATCACTCATACATCAACTTACTGGTAGGTGTGAGAGGTGTTCTTGGAACCTCAATCTCTGTTTGATGTAGACTCCTTTCTACAACTGGTTCTTCTACTACATTTATACTATTATTCTGCATGATTTCCTGCAGCATATTAAACAGTTCCTCTGCACGAGCACACTTGAAGGCAAATATCCCTGCAAAAACATATATTAGACATCATAATAATGCATGTATGTATAATCATTTACTCATATACCCTTAATGAAAGATATTTAATTTTTAAATTTTTAACAATTATAAGTTTCTGCAATTCCAAAGGAGAATTTTTGCTATCTATATCAGAAAACTAGTTGGGAGACCATAGCTGCAGACCAAGAACTTTGGAGTACACTTGTAGCTTAATGTTTTCTAGCACAGGGCATGAATAATATCAGAAAACATCTCAAGAACAATTAACTCTTACAATTAATACATATCAAGTTTTCAGGTCAATTATAGTACCAAAATTAATAAAAACTTCCTTCCTAAAGAAATAAGAAAGATCTAATACAAGGTACACAGTCCAAATTCATGTCAGCGTTAAATCTTGAAGGAGCGGAAGACAGATGTAAATAGAGCAAATGAAATAAATCTGGTCTGGTCTCAAGGACTAAAATCAGAAATACAGTAAGCGGTATCAAAGATTTTCCTCTAAAGTTGTTCCACTTTTTCTTTCAGCAGCAATGAAACCCCTCACTTATTCTCATCAGCAAAGGGAAACAGTATAATTGCAGTGTTGTATTATTGAAATTGAAAGCATTAAGTTGACATTCTTATTAGCAATTGTATCTTCAAATATTTAATTAAATTAACATCAAATATTTAATTAAATAATATTAAAACAATTGTATTATGGTACTACAAATGTACTATTCTATTCAAGCCAATAATAATTTTTAATTCAATACCCCCCTTTAAATAGTAATATATTGACTTAGTGTCATGCAAGCTTCCTAACCGTAGGTGGGCCATGTACTATACTTTCTGGGATGATTCTATCTTTGAAGAAAATTGTCTAGTCTAGGCCTCCATCCAGGAAAGTGGGTTTATAAACTTGAAATGTATTAAGGATTTTTCCTAGAGCAATTTTAACAAATGTGATTCTAAATAATGAGATTTTTAAAATTTTAAGATAAAATTATTTTTAGACAGTTACTTGATACTGAAACATACAATGCATACAAACAGGAAAATAATATTATACAACACATTAGAGATAAATTAATAATTTGAACAATTAGACAATAAACCATAAATATATACACTTTTATACTGCATTTAACCATATTTCCTGAACAAAAATGCTGAAATGTTGATAAATAAATGGGACCATGTTTGTATATTCTCAAAAATAAGACGATAATTGAATCCTGAAAATATGGTTAAATATTTGCTTTTATATGAGCTTAGTTTTTAAAATCCAATAAAAATGATGTTTAACTTTTGAGAATATAAACATGTGTATCAATTTATGTCACTTATCTACATATAAATAACATGGGAGAGGCTGAACTGAGATGTGATTTATACAAGGCCATTTTGTGAGTTCAATAACTTACAAACTGCACTTCTCTAATATGACCTTCAGCAGTTGGTATTCAGAATCACATTGTACATCAACATGAAGTTTCAAACGGCCACTGATAAAACTATTATCTAGGAAATTGTTGAATTTTCTCTTAAAATTCTCTAAAACAGTGACCATCACACCTCCTTGAAATAATCAATTTCTCATTTTGTGACAAATATTTTAACTCATACTAAAGCCATTACCTGAATTCAGTTGTAAAAAAGAGGAAAAAACATCAATTTAGTTCTTTTCTAATATTTTATCTCTCTGTGGTCCATCTCTAAACTAAAAATATTTCTTCATAAGAAAAGTTCTATTCTATCACTCTGTCTTTTCTCCTAATTTCCTGATGTGACTACAGATTTTTTTTAAAGAAAATCCAATCAACTTATGTCAAGGTCAAGGTTCCAACTAATGAACCCAAGTGAACTGAACCTGACAGCAGCCATTGTTCTGTTCCCCAGTTGCCACTCTAGTTGAAACCTGTCTTTTTCCTGCTGTAACTGAACACTCAGTTGACGGTGTACAGATCAATGGAAACATGACTCTAAAATTGCTTTCTTGATCAGCAATGCCAATTAGGTTAATACTGTCTAATGTCAATAACAATATTTCTTAACAACACAGTCCTATGTTGCAAGACAGTATATCAGGGTGAGAAGGTTGGGTTTCCTCCTCCAAATACTGTAATTAGTTCCAACCTTATGGTGAAGAGTGGGAATTTGATAGATACCACTCCTCCTAATTTCCCTTCATGTCAGGTTCTTTCTGTCATTGGTTATATCTCATTTTAGAAAGGCTGTAAAAAAGCGGGCGGGGGGGGCAGAAAGCAGATGGGCAGGGCTAAGCTTCCAGACTCCCCATCCGTCTGTCAGACACAACATTGTCAGCTCTCATATTGATCTAAATATAATCTTTCCATTTGCCTACAATGGAAGTTTTAAAAACTATGGGATAGCAAATACTGGCCCTCTGCCTTGCCAGTTGGTTATCAGTAGGGCTTTGAACTTATCAGAGCATTTCAGAAGTTGAAGAGAATAACTGTATCCATAACAGAAATTTAGATCAACTAATTCATTTAGATCAACTAAGTACAGTTGATCCAGGATGGGCTAATACTATGTATTATTACATAAGTCTTCATATGTCATCAATACTATTAGCTTTACGTTATGTATGAGCTCCATTTAACAGACTTATGAAATAGGAAACTATTTATACATACCTGGTCCAGTTTGACACCTTCGACCACTTTCAAATGAGAAAAGATTGGAATCATACCCATAACGGCGCAGACAGAGATAATGCCACTTGACCGAATCACGTTTACGGGTATACAAGATTAACTCTGTATCTGTAAGTTCCATTATACCAGAACCCAATTCATTACCATCATCATCCACATTAATAACCTAGAAAATATATTTTTCAGAAAATAAAATTATGATTCACATGATCAAACTCAAATATTTATTTATACACAACCATACACTTTACTAAATATAATTGAACAAATATTTATTAAAAACTGCTAGATAACAGAAAATAAAACTAGCATAATTATAACAATAATACATAGCTAATTGGTATTTTATTTATTCCCAGAATGTGAAAATGTTTCTACATGCCACAAAATATATTTCACATCTTTCCATTATCCATTTCAGTGGATTTAAATAGATATAATTTATCCCAAAGATTTTGTGATATGAATTATTATATCAACTGCTTCTAATCTGAAAATGTTACAAAAGAAAATATCCGAAGAATCTCTGTGGTAAATAATAGAGACATTCTATACACTAAATAGTACAGATGATGGAGTATAATTTTTTGCAATTATTTGATTTACAGTGCTCAAAATCTGTGAGCATTAGTTCTGCACTGATGGGAATTATAGCCCAAAATATAGCAATTACAGACTGCCTACTACTGTATCTCAACCTTACTTAGCTCTCACTTTAAGAATCAACTTGAAAATTGAGTCAGTTTTTTAAAATTACCACAAAAATCCGAGAGATGAGTTTAGAGACTTATGATCTGAATGGGGGTGGATTTGTTGGAGCCCTGACAGCCAGCAGACACTGGCAATCCTTACAATTAAATTTTTTTCTCCTTATCAATCTCAACTCAGAATTTTGCACTCAACAGTTTCCATGTAGAATTGTACCTTAAATTTGTTTCGATGGTTATCAGGGACTGCTTCTTTATCAGGACAGCTACAACAGCTACCCATGACTTCTTTAGAAGACCGTGTGATTACTGTAGCAAAGTAAAGAGAATTGTTTTAAAGACAAATGCAATAAAGAGAATGGAAAATGAAGTGCAAATAATTGCAATTTAAAAAATGTGATAGATATTATAAAAGCGGTATGAAGAGATCAAATGTAAAGGTGTCTTAAATATATTATATTTAAATGCTCTAAAATATTGTATTTTTAATAATAATTCACTTGATAAGGCTGTTGATGTTTCCCTATACAAAAGGAAAGATAACAATGACAAATGCAAAAATTATATGAAACTTAGTTTATTAAGTATGCCTGGGAAAGTGCTGAGCAGAATTTAATGAAGCTGAATGATTTGCAACAAACATTAGACTGCTTGATGCAACAAGGAGTACAGATCTTAAAATGGGAAAGTAAAGCAAATGCTGCAGGTTTTTCACAAATAATGAAAAATTAGAACAAATAGATCAATGTCTATACCTTGGTAGAATGTTTTCTAAAGATGGGGAAAGGCATAGAGAAATGTTAAGATATACATGTTCTGGCAGAAAGGTAATGGGAGTATCGCTTTCTAAAAAAGGTTATAGCTAGAATACAATAGTAAATTAGCAAAGGTGCTTACTGCCACAGAAATTACTTGAACAGGAAAAGGAAAGCTGGAAAACCATTATTTCTATTATCAAATAACTGTACAATCTTTTTTTAGCTAACTAAAAAGCACAATAAAAACAGCTGTTTGGGGGCAAGAACTACTTACATTCCATCTACTTACAGAACAGGAAATATAATAACTTTCTTTACAAGATTATTTCAGATTCTGAAATAATCTGAAACATCTGACTGAAAGTAAATATACTCACCTAGATTTGGCCATTAATATTCGTAGCCTCTGGTATAGCAGCAGTAATCCTTTCATACTTCAAAACATTGTGTTTTCTTTTCAGATAGTTGTTGGACCTATAAATGAAAGTTCGAACAAATTGTAAAATAAATTAAGACAACAGCTTTAAATAAAAAAAAAGGCTCTGAAACAAAACAGTGGTTACTATTCTGTTCTGAACCATTACTAATTTATATTCCGAATGAACAGCTACTTTAGGGTATATGTTTCTTTTTTATATATAACAAAAAAAGCCCTAATTTTGAATTCAGTATACAACAGAAGACACTCCACTGGGAGCTTCTTCTGTCAAAATATGTTAGATAATAACAACTTTTGCACATCTGTTTTAATAGCAATAGAACTTAGACTTATATACTGCTTCACAATGTTTTACAGCCCTCCCTAAGTGGTTTATAGGGTCAGCATATTGCCCCCAACAATGTGGGTCATTTTACCAACCTTGGAAGGATGGAAGGCTGAATCGACCTTGAGCTGGTTAGGATCAAACTGCTGGCAGAATTAGCCTGCAATACTGTATTCTAACCACTGCACCACCATGGCTCTTGTCTGCTATTACAGCATATTTAAGAAAAGTTATAGATAATTTGCATATCTGTATAGTGTATAGTATTGCAGAATCAACATGCCATTCTATTAAAAGCTAGATATGTACTGTGTCAGCAGTCCAGCAAACCTCCATTCCAATCAATAACTCCGAGACAAACATATCTCAAAAGTACCTTTATTAGAATAGCACCTGGCACATCTGTGGAAACCTGAATCAAAAAGTTTTTTCGGCTTTCCACAATTTCTCAAACTACAAATCTATCCCTCCCTTGGTCGCCATCACATCACATGGCCCAATCATGATCTGTCCAAAAGTAAGATCCTTATTTCATCCTGCGCCATACTAAATGACCTTGGACTAACAAAAGAATTTTATTTTGTCTACTTAAAGCTACGTAATTGAAATCACCCCGCTTCCACTCTCCCAGGCTAGATGGCAGCGTGGAATATGGCTTTCAAAGCTGACATACTGTTGATTCCTGTACATACTGCTACAATGTTCAACACTCATCCCTCAAGATGTTAGACTGCAATTCCTATCATCCTGTACCATCTACTATATTGACTAACGGGTTGTAGTTCAACATTAGGAGAGCTCCATATTGCTTTCCTCCGCCTAGTTTACCAAAAAATGTGTAGTATCTCATATTGTACTTAAATTACATTAAAAATAGACAATAATATTTTTGAACATATTAACATATAACATACTTTGGATAGTGAAATATATGAAAATATAATTTGTAATAAAACAGGTCTAAAAAGCTGGAACATAGTCAGGTTTATGGGTGAGAAATGTAAGAATGGAAAAACTGTCAACTACTTTATGACAGTTTCTCATGTGTGGGCAGTAAAGATTTTGTTCTATAACTTTAATGAAGAAAATAACTCAAAATTCTAAAATATTCAATGTACAGATAATCCTTGCTTACCGACTGCTCATTCAGCAACCATTCCAAGTTATAATGGCGCTGAAAAAGGAGATTTATGACCAGTGCTTGCATCTCTGGCTATCACAGCATCCCAGTGGCTTTGTGGCCAGAATCTGGGTGCTTAGTAACCAATGCACATTTACAATGATCAGATGGTCTCCAGTCGTGTGGTCACCATTTATTACTTTAATAGTCAGCTTCCAACAAGCAAAATCAAAGGGGAAGCCAGCAGGAAATCATAAGTCATGGTCATATGACATTACACTTAATGACTATGATGATTCACTTAATATCTTCATTCAGAACTGATGCTGTAAGTGGTGTTCATATGATGTTTCACTTTAAAACCATACTGCTTAGCAGCAGATTTGCCAGGCCCAACTGTGGTTGGTAAGTTAGGGCAACTATGAAAGGAATGGAAAAACAATTCAGTAGTAATAGTTTAGACAATGAGCAGCAAACCATCAGATAAGTTTGACTTAAGAAAACTATCTTTGTACATCCAGCCATCCCCCACTAAACCACATTTTAGCTTTCCCCAAACCCCAAAAACTTTAACCTTAGACTGTCTACTATTGACCTCACCTCTTTCCTAAGAGGTCTGTAGGGGGCGTGCATAAGCACAACAACTTGCCTACCATCCCTGTCCTATTGTTTCTTTTTATTTTTCTTATATGTATCCATTTCATGTATTCATAACTTTGTTTATATTTATACCTGTTATCTTACAATCACTTGACAAATTAATAAAATAAAATAAAATAAAATTTTGATCATGATGTATACAATCTGGTTGGGTTCTAATACTTGTGTGGATTAATATCTAGATTCTAGCATTTAAGTAACAAATTTAAATTAAATGCTGCTGGAGCAGTAGCATTAGATTCTATTTATTTAATCAGTTTGAAAAGCTGCCTATCAGCAACGAACAACAACAACAAATAGTATAAAAACAATGCTATTTTGAATTCAAAAATTAAATACATAGCAGCTGAGAAAAATAACAGCCAGGAGTGCTAATTCAGCTAGGAGAAAGGCTCTTTCACACACTCAGGGTCCCAGGGCCTGGGCATAGAACCCAGGTCTACAAAAGGCTGCAGGATCAGGGTTTAATCTTCATACAGCCGGCGGACGCTACAGCGAAAAAGGAAGGATTCTTGGCCCATGTCAATCAGTACTCCTTGGCCAATGCATTCCCATTTGCTGAACCAGATTGGACGAGTAGAAATGAAATTATCTGTTTTAAACATCAAACTTTTTGAATTAGAAAAATCTGTTGATATCAGTATCGAGGGGGCAGGAGAGAAATATGTAATATTAAATTCAAGTATTATGTTTTTAATACCTATTGTTAAAAAGACTGGCTTAAAATAGCATTGTTATTATTTTATAAAGATGTTTTTGTTAAGTTTTATAACAAGAGAGCTACAGCTGCTTGTTTTCAGAACACGAAAGAGACTACGATTAGTTTGGAACCTTATGAAAACATTCTTTAAACGCCACAACAAGACTCAGAAGAGTCAAGACTACATCCCCCAAAACCTTAGTATAATCCTGACAGAGTTGTTAAAAAAGGAGGTTTAAATAAATTTGCCCATTTGTAAAAAAAAAATCAATTCAACATTTTGAAGGAAGAAAGCTGAAATCATGAAACAACAGTGTATCACAGATGATAAAAATCAGAATCCTTCTGAGATCTTCATTAATTCATAACTTCATCAAACATTAGAAGCTCTGTGTGTCAACCATCCCAATATGGTCAATTAGAAAAGAAAGACTCTCAAATCCATTGTTAGCGAAAATACACTTCACTAAAGCCAAGTGGTTACAGAATGCAAAATCAGACCTGAAATTTTCACATCCAAAGCATAACCTTCCCCCCTGATTATCTCTAGGTGTCCAATTGGATTCAAACAAATTGTCCCTGTCTTTGCAGGCTGGATGGTGCTGCATTCCATAGTGTGACCTTGGAACTGCCATCAAGATGCTTAGTTTTGATTCTTCTCCCACTTCTCCCACCCTGCAGTTCCTTCCCCCCACTGCATATAGCAGAACGGCAGCAAGCAAAGCATGGCATAGCGAGGTGGCAGTCTCTGCTAACACAACAAAATACATAAATTATTCAAATAATTATTCAACTATTTCACACTTCCTGCATCATTCCAGCATAGTCAAACTTGTAGAAACAGATTGGTACCTATTAGAATTTATTTTTAAAAAAACTACATATAGCTCTTAAGAGCATTTGTCCATTAAATTTGAAAAAAAGTATTTAAATTGCAGTTCACATAATACCCACTTTGGTAATGAATGCTGTAAAAGCATGGTTCAGAAAAATCATAGATTTATAAACATATATATATATATATAATCCTTTTTTATTGCTTCAGTCCTGTATATGTTTTGGCAAAAACAAATTTTATAAACAAGGAAAAATGTTCTCTGTTTAAAAAATAACCTACTTAAATATCTTGCAATTTATGATAACTATCACCTTTTGATTCTCAAGTATCTTTTTATTCAGCATATTTAAAGAAGCATTTATTTCTTGTGAATTTATCAGGTTCGAATATATTAATTACCAATTGCCTTCTTGTACAAATTGCTGTTAATTTAGACTTCCTTACATGAACTAGCTGCAATCTAGTTTCCAATACCATTCACTTCTCTTTTAAATAAATATATTTTCAAGCTACAATATACGAGTTATTTAAAATATACTCTTCTATTATAAGTGGCTATATTTCTCCCTTTTCAAACCTAAAAGATGAGTCACAGTAAGTGCAACCAAACAGAGTCTAGATTCATGTATTATGCTAAGCTCTAATACAGCTTTGTTTGCATGTAATCACTGTCATAAATTATGCATGTTTAAGTTTGGGTGGGAGAAACAAGCTTGAAAAAACCATATTTATGTTTTATGTTTATATTTATGTTTGAAGAAACTTATTCTAAAATAGCCAATTTGGTATAGTGGGTTAAGAATCAGGCTAGAAATTGAAGGACTGTAAATTCTAGTCCCACGTTGGGCACAAAGCCAGTTGGGTAACCTTGAACTAGTCACTTTCTCTCAAACCGAGCAAGGAGCAATGGCAAACCACTTTGCCAAGAAAACTGCAGGGTCCTGTCCAGGCAGTCTCTGAGAATCAGACATGATTGAATGGGGAAAAATGTTTGATCCCGGAAATCATTTAACAAACTCTGGATTAGTATAACATGTGATTTTCCAATATATTTCATTGTCTTCATGCAAATTTATTAGCACATAGGTACAAATGCCTTAATCTGAACAGAAGATATCAAAACAGACAGGCTCCAAGTCAGCAAAGGAATGAGACAAAGCTGCATATTATTCAACCTATATGCTGAATATATATTGAGATAAGCTAGACTGGAAAATGAATGTAATTTTAAACTTGGGGAATGAAACAATAATCTTCACTATACTGAGAAATGGAAATGAAAATGACGTAGAAATTTTATTAATGAAAGTCAAGGAGCACAGTGAAATGTGGAATTAAAAGTAAATATAAAGAAGGCCAAACTAATTGCAATGGGTACTAAATGCAAGAAAA